CGAGCATTTCCGGTTTTCGTATGATGGAAATCACCAGCAATATTGAAGAGAGACAAGAATGAATAAAACTTATGAATGTATTTCGTTGAGGCCAAGCCGATTTTCTATGAGCATGATTCTCGTTCGATTTTGTCACACGTCGATTGACGATGAGAAAAAAGCAAAATGATAGTAAAGTATAGATTATCATCCATATAGGTGAAATAGGTCGATATGGAAATCTATCAGACTCATGAAAATAGAATTGCATATGCATATCATGCGACATGTTAACAGCAATAAATGATGCACTTGTGCGTTCGTATGATTACAGGTGTGTATGTGTTGACGTTCGTTCTCTTCTCTTTCTAAAATCTTAACGATGACAGCCAATGAAAACTGTTTTATTGGTTGCATTCTTGAGAACAGCATCGCGTTTTATGTTATTTTTACGACCCACAAATGAATTATAGTCTGTGTACATGTGCGACAGCTACATTCGTAAATATAGTTAAATTCTTGAGGATAACTGGGTAGTAGATCAAGCTCCCAACTAAGGGATGTGAGTTTTAGTGTTCTTGCATTGTCTCTACTATCTCTTGTGCTGGTACTCTATTGAGTTTTCTGGGATACTCGTAAAAGACATAATGTGGATTCCACTTGTTATACCAGCCTGATCTTTTGCTCAGTACGTTGCAAGCATTGCCTTTCATTTATTCTCATAAAAAGAATTCAAATGATGATAATTGTGACGAGTGCGAAGCACATCGAAAAAGAATCGTCTTTATATCAAGGGAAAAGTGCAGATTTGGAACCCTCAGCACCTCAGTACCTTTTTGGCATCTACAGGCACCTTCAACGCTTTCTTTCAGCATCTTGCGGTAAAATTTGGTGCTTAGGTGCTGTCAATATTGTGCATCATTTAAGCACTTAATTTTACCAAAAGGTGCTGGAAAAATGTTCATGGTGCAGAAAATGTACTGAGATACTAGAGGTTCCTCGCCTGTATTTACCCCTTCTCTTTATACATTCTTCCTCTGGGTTACCTGATGTCTGCAAATTGATGGATTTTATTACCAAAATGCTAAGTAAACTCATTTTCTTGAACTATTTATTAAGTTCTGTTATAATTTAGAATGTTATTGAAAAAATATTTCAAATAGTCATACCAGTTGATACTGATACTCTTTGACTATTATTATCATTTACCGTTTCTTCATCAAATTCGGCTGAAATCCATTTTTTTTGCAATCGTTTGTGACTCAACTTTGATCTTCCATAGAATTATTTTGATTCTAATGTTTACAGGCATTAAAAGTTTTATCTCAACTATATTCAGTAAAACTTAAAGGAACAGCAAGGCAAGTTATCGTAAACTCATGCAACTCACTTGAACTGTTGACGGGCTATTCGTTTTTTTTATTCTGATGGACTTTTAGAAGACCTCGTAAATATATTGTTTTCTGTAATAAGACTAGGGTGAATTTATATCACCTTCATCACCGCACAGCTTTCTTGTTCGTCCGATTTTCTGGTTATACTCTCATTTATTTGTTGATAAATAAGGATTTAAAAATCTTTGCTTATTCACACATACCCAATATGAAGATCTTCCAAAATACTTACTATTAGAGATTCCTCAATCCATATCGGTCCTTAAAGATACTTGTACTGTTGTCAACGTGATGGTTGAACACGATCAAAGTCTAACGAGGAAACGTTTTCAATTGTCCAATCGCTTTTGGGTTCGAACTGTGTGCATAAGGCACATCCAAGTGAGAAATGACAAACTCCAAAAGAATGAGTTCCCATAGGCCTTCTGTCCAGAATTATAGGCATTTTACTGGAATTTTAGCATCAGGTACGGTATATACGAACAAATCGAATGGCGATATTTCAATTATTCAACTGCCCAAATCTACAATAATAGGATAGTTGAAGTTAAACTATTGAAGGATTCTTTATTGAGTTTCTGACGTAGGAAATACTTTAAGTTCAACTATTCACGTGTTCCATTATTAATTAGACGAAAATGGCTGGATGAATGAAGGACATACACGAATACACACGCAAACATCATCGGAACCGGTGTGGATGCCGAGAAAGGACTCAGGGAAAAGACGCCATACAGAAACTAGGGTGGGTGTGGATGTGGGTCTCAGTATCACTAGGCTTGTTTTGGTATCTCCCACTCACAACCACACCCATATCCACATCCAATGTTCAAGCTTCACCCTACTAACGAAATCGGTAACAGCATCAATGACGAAGAAGAGTGATCTATCCCCTATACTTCGCTGTCGTGATATGAACACAACAACATCCCATTAGAGTTATTTTTATAATATTATCGTAATAGTACGAAATTTAATCAATTATTTTCAATAATTGACTTGCTTTTTATCAAGATCATTATTTTATTTTTCTTTCGAATTCAAAACATAAATACTAGGCCAACTTACATCGTTAACATTAAATTCATCTTCGAGCAACGTGTATCGTTAAATAAAATAAAACTACATAATAGCTTATTCATATGATTTCTAAAATAAAAACCAACTAATAATTAATTAATTTGTTTTCGATTCACTACTATTTCTATCTTTTTCTAATTATTTGACTCATTTTTTATCGTTTTACACAGTAATTGCGACATATTCTGCTTACCAAATTACTCCATGTGTCGCGCTATTCTTATAAAAGTAAGCATGGAGCGTCAACATGTTATTTGTTCTTATCTTGACAGGAGAACAAAACAATTTTAAAGAAAAGTTATCAAACTAAATCAAAATGAATGAAAACGACAGTACAACAACAATTACAGATCAATTAAATTCTCTTCGTTTAATATTACGTTCAGATGATCATCTTCAAATTCAACTATTAGGAGATTATGAGCAAGTTCGTATCAAACTTGATCATGATATACAAATAAGTTTTTTCTTTAATACACTTAACATTTTACATAAATCATTAACTATTAATAATATACATGATTTACGAATTCATAAATCATCAAATAAATGTTCATTAAATAATGATCAGTGGACAAATATTCATAAATATTTTGATGAAATTATTCAGCAATCAAATGAACAAACATCAGTTCAATATATTATTCAATTAATTTAAGATCGTTTATTACAAATTGCACTAACAAATAAAAAATTCAAACATAAAACGAGAAAATCAGCAGAAACTATATCAACAACGACAAATAAATTTCATGGTGCTGATTTAATTTAAAACAATTGATCGATCACAAGTTATAATAGGTTATGAAGATCGTTTTACAGGTATACATGAAATAGCATTTAATGAATTTAAAACAGTTCACGAGCATGAGGTAATATTATATAATTCGAATAAATTAAATCTATCACGATTATTTTTAGTATGGAGTTCCAATGCATCGTATTCAATATTATAAAATCAATGAACAGATTGTATGGGATCGAACGAAAAAGTTAGATATACTAACCGGTAGTGATCAATTAAATGAAGCATCGAATGGTATGAAAAAAAACTTTTATTTTTGATTAATAAATAAAACAGTTAGAAAGACTTGAAAACATTTTGATGGATGAATGTAGAAAAGTCTTATGTAATTCATCTGTATACTTCTGTTTCTATTGAAGCAAAGATCTAAATTCAATTCTCAAATAAATGTAAAAACCTCGACAAACCAAATGTGACTGCGCTGAAAGAATGTGTTTTTCTTTATACGTGCATACTTATGATGTCATGATCTATTATTATTATTATTATTAGACAAACTATTTTGCATTGAAATGTCCTCCTTGTCAAAATCAGAAAAACATAAACGAATTTTGGTTAATTTCATATCAATAAAGAATGATGATCGGCTTAATGAAATTTTTAATGAGAGCAACAGATTTCCGAAAAAGTTAAAACAAAAACTTTTTCACTGAAATGTTGTCTGGTGGAACATTTGATAGTGATAAAAGTTTCAATGACAACGAACATGTCTTACTCTCAGTAAAGAAACGCATTAAAACGATCACAGTTCTTCATTCGTAGACAATGAGCCCGAATCCCTGTGTAACATTGTTACCATTTTACTCGACGTTTGTTAAAAGTAACTCAAGGTCAGAAGAGCTTTCAAATGATGTTTATATGAACAAACGAACTATCATTATAATTTTGGTAAACTAATTAAATTTTAAAGTATTCAATGCTTTGAAAAATATTTTGTTCTTCAAAGCTTGATTTTTCGAAAGAACAGTTTTGAATAACATTTTCCAATGATCATTAGAACACTATCTTATCTAAATTCTTTTCCTATATCCTAAATACTAAGCAAAGACCTACTCTGGTACAAGTACTCTATCATTTTGATCAAACTCTACAACAATGGATTGAATGTCCACATATATCATTAAGATTAGATGATCCAAAAATCCCATCAACAAATGAAGCATGTCTTCCTGAATGATGTCATTTTGTAACATGGAATAGTTTATTTGATTATTATCAACGAGCACTTATTTATACTCCACAACGATATCAATCAATACTTGAAACACTTAAATCACTTTTACCTGATTTTATTTGTTTACAAGAAGTAACTGTTAATTTTCTTAATCTTCTCTTAAATGAAACATGGCTACAAGAAAATAATTATTATATTATTATTACAAAAAAAGTTATTGATAGTAATAAAAAAAAATCATATGGACAAATGATGATTATGAAAAATTTTCGACTACGATCATTTTCAATATGTCCACTTGATCTATCTGATGATGATCATGAAGCAACAGCAAAAAAATCGAAAACAATGAAAACAATAATCATAGCTCGATTTGGTATAAATACTAAAATTACAATTGATCTTGTTAATCTTCATTTACATAGTGATCATTCTCCTAATGCAAGTGAAAGACGTTGTCAAGCATTAGAAAATTCTTTTAGAAAAATAAAAACAAATAATTGTATGTTTATTGGTGATTTTAATTTTGGAGATAATAATTTAAAAGAACAAAATATTCTTGCAACATATGAAGATGAAATACATGATTTATGGAAAGATATTTATCATCTTGATCAAGTAAGATATTTGAATTTTATCAATAAAATCTTAAATGACAAGACGAAATTCGGTTGATTTC